GAATCAGCATGTGCCTGGGTACCCCACCAACACCACCAGCAGGATTTTTCTACTACCATTTCTTGCTTTTGACAGTCTAAAATTAACACATTTCATTGTACCCTGGCTCCCAAAAAGCCATCCAACCACAAAAAAGGGGGAAAAAAAGAGACTGTTTTAAACTGTTTAATTGCATATATTACCTTTTCGAAAACACTGCCTTGCTGCATCCTGTCCAAGTGTTCTGAACAGATAACATTACAGGAATCTTCAAAACAGAAGAATCTGAAACAATCCTAACCTTATAGATTTTAATGTTCTTTTCTTTCCCTTTAAAATAAGCTGTAGAATTCCCCAGTCTTTAAAGACAGGCATAGCTCAATTATTTTGTGAATATAACCACAATTCCAATTAAAGGCCTTTTTCACTATTTGTTTACCACTCGCAAGTCTCCACTGAAGCTAGGTGAAAACCAGCAAATTCACAAAGTTACATGAATTAAATAATTTAAGGTATTTTTAAAAGCTGCTACATTTTTGACTCACTGATTAAAATGCCATTTAAGTTTATGGTTTAAAAATATTTGTCATTAATTACAAGGGCATGCAGCGATCGGACAAGGGGTCATGGCCTTAAGCTGAAGGAGGATAAATTTAGATTAGATGTTAGGAAGGACTTCTCTATTGTGAGAGTGGTGAGGCACTGGAACAGGTTGCCCAGAGACACTGTGGATGCCCCATCCCTGGAAGTGTTCAAGGCCAGGTTGGATGGGGCTTTGGGCAACCTGGTCTAGTGGAGGGTGTCCCTGCCTATGGCAGGGGAGTTGAAACTAGATGATCTTTGAGGTCCCTTCCAACCCAAACCATTCTAAGGTTCTATAATTCCACAAAAACCATAGTAAGACACAATGAACATGAAGTTCTGATTAAGAAGGGACACCCACACAGGAAACTACCTTCACTCAATTAAAAAAAAAAAATCCAACTGGATTTTCTGATGAAAACAAAAAAACTCAACACACAAAAGCCAAGTTGTGCTAATTACAACTCATCAAAACGGAGTACAGAAATACTCTAAAGCACATTGTTTTAGTAGAAAAGAATCTTGGGGGGGGGGGGGGGAAGCACTGAATTGATCTCTGACCACAAATCTCAGTTCTCAGTGCAAATGGTCTTCACATAAATTACATTCATCGCATCACAAAGTGGAATAGATTGGCAATACACAATTGGTAGTAAAGGATCATGCTGAAATTAGCTTTTGAAATTATGTGAGCAGTTTCAATAGAGTGCAGAAGTTATTCAAGCTAACAATTAAATACACAGAAGTTTAACTGTTGGTACAACAGAAATACTGAGGTGTGGGGATTACTTTTTTTTAAAATGGAGCACATAATTTTCCTTGGAGGAAGAAAGCATTCAGTTCATCTTTCATGTCCTTTCCATAAAAAAGAGCGTGACATAATCAAGAAGTCAAACCTGGAGTTATTAGTTCATTTCCAAATGCTTCTACACAGGTTGAGACTAGTAAGTAGTTATCACCACCCCTTAAAAGAAGTATCAAAATTCTGTTTTTAGTAAAAACAGTTCAATATAAGCCTCTTTACTGGATTATCCAACCATTTCCTTGTCCTAAAACCACAGAGTTTAGTGGCAATGAAAAACAAGCTTGAAATTAATTGCAAGAAAAAACCAGAACTGATTCCACAACAATATTCACCAATACTGTTTCTGTAACTGAGTCATCTATCTCACTTGCAAGTGAAACATTTTATGTTTCTTTAGCAGTTATATTAACAAAAAGGGTCTCCGTTACCTAAAGTTGTTTTTGAGAAGTCAAGACAACAGGAAAACTGAAAATACAAACCTCTTTCTTTTCTGGAGGTCTTTCCTTTAGCTGTTATGAACTTCTTTTTCACTGACTGAGGCTGAGAAGAAGAATGCTCTCTCCACCTCCGAAGCTGGAAATTAATGAACTTCCACATCATAAATGCCTGAGTCATGCAGATGGAGGCCAGCACACTGATTCTAGAAACAAAACGCAGGTAAAGATTTATCAGTAAGTTCACATTGTTATTCAGAGGAAAAGTAGACCACCACCTCAGATTGTTTTTTTGTATGTCATAAACTGCCTTTTTACTCAGGTTCCTCAAACACATTAGAGTGATTCCTCCTGGATAACATGAACTTGTAAAAGTTTGGAGTTTAGGTGGGGTTTTTTTTGTGACTTTCCCCCCAAGTAACATCCATCTTCTAAGCCATGCAAGAGTTAGCTCATGTAGGGCAACTGGGCTTAGCACAGATGAACAAAACTAGATACACAGTGAAGTCTTTGCTCCTCCATCAAAACTGTGAAGCACTACATTCCTTTCCTGCTTTCTCCTTTCCTAGCATTACTCTCAAGATATGAGGTAGTAACAGCTGAAAATGGTAAGAGAGTCTTGTAGTTCTGCGTATCAATTCTGCAGGGTAATGCTGACATTGTCAATGTTTTAATAACTTCCTTTTCTGGATTTAATTCATAAAAAGGCCAGCTGCATCACATAGCAGCAATAGCAGCCATAATAAAGGCAGAGAAAGAGGTAGGAATCTTCAACCAGGACCAAAGATGCTCTGGGCATAATGCCTTGACGTCTATAGACAAATTTGCTGCAATTATATCTAGAATTCAATTCACTAACTCCAAAACATTTGAAAGTAGTCTCGTAATTGGATATTCCTTTTAATTCTGTTTCTTCTGACAGAAAAACCCATGAGTAACCAGTTACAGATTTCTCAGCTGTAGACTGTCGATTCTTCAATTCGTTTCACTCTGCCTTACAAGTTTGTTACAGAAGCTATTCCTATTGATCCCATCAGTTGCATGAAAACACATAACCATTCAGAATTACTAGCATTAATACCATACAATTTATATTGCATATTTAACACAGGTTTACAGCTTGTACTTAAGAACTGTTCCAAGTTTACTATACCTAACAGCCAGGATATTAAAGTTTCCAGTACTGAAATTCAGCTGCTGATCTTCTGCTCTTGCCAGTCCAAAGCCAAAAGTGAGGACTGAGAGAATCAAGGTGAGAAGCCTTCCCAAAACAAAAAGAACTGCCCACAGTGAAAATCTACAAAGAAAACCACCACAAACACTAAGTGAATTTTCCATTCACAATACAAGTACTCACAATGCAAATGTTTACTCCTTAACATCTGAATTCACTTAAGAACTTACCTAAATGTATTGTTTTGCACCCATTCTAAACTAGTCTTGTATTGCTAGTACTCACAGAAGACAAAAAGCAAGAAAAGCCCTGCATCGCAATCTTTTTCTTTCTTTTTTCTTTTTTACACAAACCGAAAGTATGCTCAGAAAACTAATTTCAACTCAATGGAAAGTGCTTTCCATTACTATTAGAACATAAGCATATTATTAGTTCCTATAGAACTGGCTGGATTAACAACCTATGCTATTCCTTTCTCTACATTTTTTTTTTTTTAAATATTAGTACATAGCGTAAGATTTTATTTCACTTTATACCACTACTAACATTTACTCAAATAGGCAAATAAGGTAAAAAAATAGTTGGTTTAGAGATATAAATACTAAAACTACTCTCCAGCGCTGTGGCCTCTAAGGAAACACTGTCTGAACTTCCTTGTAATTTTGGTTTCTGGTTAGTTAAATGCACAAGGCTTTGAGACAGAAATCACATGAATTTTAAAGATAAAGACTACTTACCCTTTCTGGTATCTTTCATCACTGAAGTAGAAAAGACGGGATATATGGAAAAGAAATTCAACGAAGTAATGCAATACCAGAAGAACAAGTCCAAGATGGGTCAGACTATCAAAACAAATAAAACATTCAGGTATTTTTTTAGATGCTTAAGACAGAGAATGAAACCAGCAAAAGTTTACAGTTGACTTACTTCAGGAGATAAGCTCCAGCAATATGAAAGAGATAAAGTCCGATGTAGACAATCTGGCGAAAGATATCTTCCTATTAGGAAGAAAAAAGTAATTAAGCATTATACACAGTGTTATACATTACTGTACAATGCTATATATTATTACAAACTATTCCCTAGCCTTGGAAATTCTTCTTGGTGTATCAGCTACCTTAAGGTGGCCTGTTCTGGCACTGAATTACTCAGCCTAGATCATCGAATTACACACACAACTCATTGCTTACTTACCAATAGTATTCAGTATCTTAGACACATACTATTGTGAGAAAACACATCAAACATCAAAAGGATGCTTTTTAAAAGGGCCCGTTTTTATCTGATATGACTACCGTGAATTTGTACTAGCTATTACAATACTTATTTGGTAAGTATTACTGTATCATCACATAACTCCCTATAGTTGCATGTGTTTGCTGTCCAGAGTCTGTCAGATTGCTACAGAAATAAAATAACAATCTATGAACCAAAATGAAAAGGTTGACATCTATTTTAAAAATTCAAGATCATCTGAGATTCTGGCACACCGTTGCTGGCAAATACAAAGAATAATGTTATTAACCAGTCATACTAAGCTACATGGTCACACTTCAAGATAGGTTTTAGCCAGCCCCATTCAATTGAACACTTCATAGAGACAAAATAATAAAGAGGAAGAGACATGAATTAAAGCATACACGCACAGCACATGGAAAGCAGAAGGTGCCGCCTATGAACAGAAAATCACTGAAGTATGCTAGGTCACAACAAAAATCTGTCTTGAAGTGGTATGCAGAGTATATTCAGCTGTGCTTAAGAAACTCCTACTTTTTGGAAAGATTCCCAAAACTTCAAGCAAGGGGCTTCAACTTTGTCTTGTATACATGTAATTAAAAAAACAGGCCTAAAAATTTAATCTTGTAAGATCTATGCTATGTTATGAAATACTTCATCTCAAAGCCAACAAAAGCACAGAATCAAACACTTGTGACAAAAGCAAACCACACACATACACAAAGCGTGAGAAAACAGATAGACAAAGACCTACTCTAAGAGATCTGAAAGAAGACCAAAACAAAAAAAAAAAAAAAAAAAAGAGTGCTTTCAGACAAATTAAGAGAATAGTCAGTACAAATGCTCAGTTTCTCCAAGTACTACCAGGACGAGCCTTTTGCACTTTACCTCCAGAACTGATGTAACATTTAAACAGCCCATACTGCCTGCTTGGACAAACTGTAAGAGACCAAAGGCCTACTGGAATAATGCAGATGCAGGTACACACTACTATACAGAAAGCTGAGTTAAGAACTTCTCTTGCCTATGTCAGCAGTACAGACAAGTAGACCTGAGAGAAGGTAAGATGGCAGAGGTTAAACTGAGGTGAAGGAAATATCAACTATGAACTTGCTAAAACAAATAAACTATCACTCTTAAAACTTAATATAAAAGACAGAGGCCAAAATTCCAAGCAGTGACTCAGTAAAACACTACTAATCAATATACAGCACTTCCGCCACTTGTGACAGCTTTCTCGCAGTTACATTAAAAAATCTCCACACTTGGATATGAAGTCAAATTCAAGAGATTACCACTAGCACAATACAGGAACATCAGCTGCAGTCTATCTGCAAAACATCATTGTTTATACTGCATCTGATCAACATGAAAAGAAAGCACCTCATTACAATTTTCCTAAGCTGCTCCTAGGCTCTTGAACAAAGACCTATGGTTACATAACACGCGTGTTTCATTTTCTTCAATAAAGCAGAACTCCGGCAGCAGAGAGACAGTCTAGTCGCAGAGCAACAACAGCATCACAGAATGGTTCGGGTTGGGACGGACCTTAAAGATCACCTAGTTCCAACGCCCCTACCATGGGCAGGGACACCCTCCACTAGACCAGGTTGCCCAAAGCCCCATCCAGCCTGGCCTTGAACACTTCCAGGGAGGGGGCATCCACAACTTCTCTGGGCAACTTGTTCCTGCCTCTAACCACCCTCACAGTAACAAATTTCTTCCTATCTGATCTAAATCTACCCTCTTTCAGATTAAAATCATTGTCCCTTGTCCTGTCACTACAGGCCTTGATAAAAAGTCTTTCTCCATCCTTCTTATAAGCTCCCTTCAAATACTGAGAGGCTACAATAAGGTCTTCCCAGAGCCTTCTCTTCTCCAGGCTGAACAACCCCAACTCTTTCAGCCTGTCCTCACAGGAGACATGTTGCATCCCTCTAACCATTTTTGTGGCCCTCCTCTGATCCTGCTCCAACAGGTCCATGTCTTTCCTGTGCTATGGACACCAGAGCTGGATGCAGTACTCCAGGTAGGGTCTCACGAAAGTGGAGCAGAGGGGAAGAATCACCTCCCTCAACTTACTGGCCATGCTTCTTTTTATGCAGCCCAGGATATGGTTGGCTTTCTGGGCTGCAAGTGCACATTGATGGCTCATGTCCAATTTTTCATTCCCCCATACCCTCCAAGTCCCTTTCTGCAGGGCTGCTCTCAATCCATTCATCCTCAGCCTGCATTGATATTGGGGATTCCCATGACTCATGTGCAGGACCTTGCACTTGGCCTTGTTGAACTTCATGAGGTTTGCATGGGCTCACTCCTCAAGCCTGTCAAGATCCCTCTGGATGACATCTCTTCCCTCAAGCAAATCAACCACACCATTCAGCTTGGTGTCATGGGCAAACTTGCTGAGGGTGCACTCAATCCCACTGTCTATTTCATTGATGAAGATATTAAATAGCATTGGGTCCCACCACAAACCCTTGAAGAACACCACTCTTTACTGGTTTCCACTTGGACGCTAAGCGAGACTGTAACTCTCTGGAAGCCATCAGCCAACCAGTTCCTTATCCATCTAACAGCTCATCCATCAAATACATCTCTCCAATTTAGAAGTAAGAATGCTGTGGGAGACCATATCAAAAGCCTTACAGAAGTTCAGGTAGATGACATCAGTAGCTCTTCCCTCATCCACAGATGCAGTCATTCCACCATAGAAGGCCACTAATTAGTCAAGCAAGATTTGCCCTGGGTGAAGCGATGCTGACAAGTTTAAAACATAAAAGTTTCAAAAGGAAACTGCATATGCAAAATGAGCCTGAGCAAAAACATGCAAAGAGGCTACTTAAATTGGTCCAGCAAGGCAAAAAGTGTGCTACAAAAATATCTACAGTAAACTCAGTGTTTTGAGAACTCCCAACAGAGAAAACTCTTAGGGGGAAAAGGATGCTGTTAAAAAATGAGCATTGAAAAAATTCAATATGCAACTAACCAGAACTTCTGCTGAGGACAGTGGTATTTAGATCAAATCCCAGAGTTTAATATTCCTTGGATTTATTGAATTATTCACTGCTTATATTCTACACCTGTATCATGATTCATGAAGCAATTGTAGATTTCAATGAGACTATTCAGACTACTAATTACAAGAAACAAAAAAAAAGCTTGAAAAGAAAATCCCACATTCATTTTCTCAAGGGAATATTGTTTTAGTAGATGAGAAACACTAGTAATTTCTATTTACACAACAGGTATCAAGTGATTTTACTGCTGTTAGAGATACAGGATTTAACTGAAAAGAAAAAACCTACCTTCTCACATGGACACTGGAGCACCAAAAATTCCAACAGGAAAAATGGGTAACACAAATAAGAACAGGGTAGAAAATCTAGGGTAACACATTACTCTGGAATCCAAAAGAAATTAACTATTCCACTGTTCGAGTCACTTTGGAGTTCTTTCGATTTACATTTTGAACTTACTTTTTTAGTTTTCTGGAAGTACAATTCTGGAAAAGCATGAAACCAGTATGCCAACTGTAAGATGTAGAAAAACTTCATTTGAAACCTGTACAATACAGCAAAAATTGAAGAATATTACTTTTCATTAATGAACTTAAAACACTTCAGAAGCTTTCTAGTGAACACATTTAATCACTGTCTCTAAAGAAAGAAAAATATCGATCCTTCAAGCCTGCCAACTCAAAAGATTTTTTTTAAAAAACAGAATCATTAAGATAAATAAAGCTTGCAAAAACTTATTTTTTTAAATAATAGCCTACAGAAAGAGAACTCTGTAGGCTACAAATTGACAGAGAATAAAGATCCTCCATAAATATGAGCAAAAATACATGAGTGACTAATGCAGTTTTACAGACTACTTATTCTGCACAGATTGTACATGACACTCCCTAAGTGTAAAACACTCCCTCCTCTCCCCAACAATCCTCTAAGGAAGAGGCCTTACGGAATCAGAGTGTGCGGATAGTCCCTCCACAGAGAGGTTGGATCTGATATATAGTTCTCCTAAAAAAAACCAAAACAAACAAAAACCCCAATGAACCTTCAAAATACGCTACTTCCTAGTCAGAAATAATGAATGAACATACATACACGTATGTATTTATCTATATGCACGTGTGTACACACAAAAACACACACAGATCTACACACACAAGTAAAAGCTGCAGAGCAACAGATTTCCTTTCACAAACAAACCAACCCTCAAAACCAAAAGACAGCTGCACTGGCTTAGAAAAATGAAAAGCAACCAAACAAACCAAGCGTTCATTCGAGATACTATCCTTATGAGATGAGATTATTTCAGCATCACTACAGCCATAAGTCTTCCCTTGAAAATTGCTGACAAGCTTTGAGCTTAAATAAGGGAAGTGTTTTCAGGATCCATTATGTTAAGGGGAAAAAAAAAAAAAGCCCATACTCTTCCCCTTTTTTTAAATTGAGCTTATACACATACAGCCACTAGCAAAGAGCATGTCATCTGAAAGCACACTCACTTGAGCCTACAGCAATCTGTCCATACACCTATTCCCTAGGCTGCCAAAATGCTATGTATGACACTTTTTAAACATTTATTTTACGCTAATAAGCCAACACAGAAAAACTACAGAGAATAAAGTACCATAATAGTTTAAAAATTTTACCATATTCAGTTGACAGTAAATCAATTTAACTCAGACCGAGCAACAGTAACACTGTTGGACTTTATACTCAGTGATGACTACAACCTACACAGAATCCCTAAAATTCTCCCCGATTTAATATTAGAAATCAGCTAAAACCAGAAAAATAAGCCAAAAACTTATTTATCATCATCATCACGAGTGAACTTATTGACATCTCATAATACAAACACAAGAGAAATTATACTTACAGAGACAAGAATACTTGTTCCCCAAACACAGGAGAGAAGGTAGAATGCACTAAGTTGCCCAGATTCATTGAATTTGCTATGCTTTGTTTTTGAAAAGTGCATTTTCCTGTTAATTTTCTGAAATGAAAGTCCATTGTTATTTATATGTTGTAGTACTTAACATTTACCCGTTAATTGCACTAGAACATCTAAAAGTTTCAATGTATGTTGTAACAGTTAAAAGCTTTAACGCAAAAGTTTACTTTTAAGTTAATAGTCTTACAGTCTAATTAAAACCTGAACAATTATCTTGATGAAAGGAATTAATATTTTGTACTTACATCCAGTATGTACTCCTGAATTATAGCATGTATGATTATTGCTACAAGCATGTAAAAGAAAATCGTAGCCAAGTCTTTGATGCCATAGTGATAGAGAGAGATTGTTTCTGCAGACTGTTCTTCTGAAAGACAGAGTTAACGGTTAAGCACCAATACAGTTTAGTGGCTAATCAGAAAGTGAAATCTTTCAGACAGAAGTAGTTTGTAGTCAGCTGAACAAATGTAAGTCAAATTAAACTGCCATCATGAGCTAGGTCACTAGATTGTTTACAGTCATCTTCCTCATCACATCACAAACTAAATTTGATTCTGGAAAGATGTACTATAAAACCAAAAACTTAAGTGCACTTAGGAAGCTTACCCAAATGCACTGAAAGGGGACTATAAAAGTATGTTGAACTATCACCCCACTTTGACTAGTAAAGATTGTCGCTTGCAAAACCAGTGTAAGTATTAATGTGAACTTATCTGCCAGTCAGATGGTGTTTTAGAGCTAATGATGAATCCAGCAGAACAGAAACACTATCCCTATTTTAATTCATTAAAATTGAGTTTTACTAAAAACAAAGTGAAGTCCTTGAAAATTCCTTATTATCTATTCAAATTGACAAATTCACTTACCCTCAGTCTAGAAAGTATGGTATACTAATAACATCCAAATACACTCTCTCATAGCTAACCTCCTGCAAGATACCTACCTGTGGCAGGAATGGTAACATTATACTGAAGTGTAACAAAAATGACAGCTGCTTTTGCTGTAATCTGAAAGAGAAAAAACAAAAGTGCTGTAAATTCTCACTGAAATAAACTATATCAAACTGAAAACATTTGCCATAGTTTTAGCACCCTTCCCCAGCATGTTTGTCTCCTCCTGTAAAACTGATCAACTCACATCATCACACCACTTCACCTCACTTTCCAAAGGCAGAACACATGGCATGATCTCTATAGGATTGTTTACAGAATACCCAATCTCCTGAATGAAACATCCTCAAAAACACTACTTACAAATAGTCTTTTCTACAACATTAAAATGAAAACACATGCGCTGCAATTCTTTCTCTAGTCCATACTGTACTATTACATTAACAGAATGTACAATGTCATGTAAACCCTAGACCACGATGCATGCAGCAACGTCTGAGAATAAACTTCATTTAAAACTACTTTTTAATTTGACAGCATTTGAAGGCTGATATAATAGTCATAGATCTGTGGTTGATCTGGAAAACGTGGACAGGAAAGGAGAAAAGGCATAAGGAAGCAGAACCATTGCAGGCCAGGTGCATGCCAACTCAATACAATCAGCATTCTTTTGACCCTGGGGATCCTTTGGCAAGAAGCGTAAAACAAATTAAATTTAGCAGTAGTGATACTACCCCTTTATGACTGACAGTAAGAAAAAGCAGCATGAATGAAAGAGAGGAGGGGAAAAAAAAGGTTGTTGTAAAGGCTTGTTTTTGAGGGGGGTGGGATAGTGGTGGTGGTACTATAAAACCCCCAATAAATAAGCAGGAGCACAAGTTCTTATCTGTCAATAAGCATAAAGTATTTTCAACTTTAACACATCTTTGTTGAATCCAACATAAATCAACATGTCTTAACAGAGAGGGAAAAATAACCATGCTTTACAATATTTATGATCTGATCATTTCTCATTGCTGCGAAAACCCAGCATCCTTGTTGCATTTATAGGATCAACAAAACCAAAAATAAACCAACCCAAAATCCAAACTCCTTTATGAATCTTGGAAGGATACTCTGAGTATCAGAAGATAATGATTAGGTTACTACCAGCATTTATTATCATTCATAAGAAACAAAATTTATTTTTAAAACTAGTGCTTTGTAAACAAGCCCTAGATTTTCTAGGAATCACTGAATATACAGTGGACTGTCCACTCCATGTAACTTCAGGGAATTCAACTAGTTTGCCTGAATCAGTGAAGCTGCCTAGGGCTCCCTATTCATCAATGGAGACTTGAGAGAACAATTAAAAACATTAGTCAATTCTGAACTGCCCTTTGAAGGGGCAGCTATTCACAAAGTCCTATTTCAGTTGTACAAGTCAGGCAGCACAAACACCTTACCATACAAACATTAACCACAGCAACTCATTTCCAAGACCTATATCAAAGCATTTAAAAATTGCAACGATCTTCTCAGCCATACCACATCTGTGCCAATAAAGGCATATGGCCCTTCCATGCTGGGGCAAACAACTCCCTGGATTAAAAAAAACCTGGAAACAAAAGACTTCAGTACATCCAGTCCCTCCAAAACCTGGAAATGCCCCATACCTGGAAGTGTTTAAGACCAGGTTGGATGGGGCTTTGGGCAACCTGCCCTGGTGGAGGGTGTCCCTGCCCATGGCAGGGGAGTTGGAACTAGATGCTCTTTGAGGTCCCTTCCAACCCAAACCATTCTGATTCTAGAACTTCCAACCCTACCAGCAATACTGTAAATACAGTACGCCAGTAGTAGACATAAAAGGTAATGTTTTAAGTCCATCTCCTTAACCTCAATCCCCAGAAAACCACCATATAAGGACTGTGTTGGTGATTTTTGATAGTAGACCCAAACATAACAGCTTTCCTTGGTCTGCCCTGTTTTGTCTTTCCATATATTTATTTTTTCCTAATCCCACTGGCCTTTAATGCTAAGCAGTAATAACAGCTGGGCAAAATTATTCTGAAAAACATCCATATAATAAAAAGGGCCACAACTCTAAACAAACGCCTAGAATACTGAAAAGCTAGAAACATTTAGCCAACAAAAACTGCAGTGTCTAACTTTGATGGGACAGAACTGGGAACATTTTGGAAGTCAGACAGGTAAACTACCTTCTCCGTTCTCTCAGAAGGTGACCGAGAACAGCCAGAAAGGCACACTTTAGATCAGCAGCCAAGCTCAAGGTTTTGTTGTCCCCACGCACCCCTGCACCAGAGTTCACTAACTTTTCATGTAATTTAGAAAAAGTCAATTACTCCATCCGCCACGGGGGCCCAAGCACATCGCTTGGCCTGCAAACGCGCCCGAGCAGCGGGGCCGGCCCTCAGTCAGTCCCGAGGCCGAGCTCCCCCCGACC